TTCTCAATTCCTTTCCTAATAATCCCTAACATAGAGTTTGCCCTTTTCACTGCTGTGGCACTGCTGTTGACACTTTCATTGAGCTACCCACTATCACCCCAAGATCATTTTCCCTCTCAGTCTCAGCAAGTTCAAACCAATGCTGATTTCTCCACACCTACTTAATTAAAAATCAAAATCTCTTTTTGCATGCCTAATTAGTGACTTAACATTTCTTTTGCCAGAGTCTGTGGTCCCTCCTGTCCAACTAATTGGGGCAGATCTTCCACTGAAGTCTCTTTACTTTTTATAGCTTCCTTGATTTGCATTGTTAACCGTGCAGGCCTTCTTTTAGACTTGGCAGTGCCTTTCCTAACCTGTGGAATGCATTCTATCTGGCCTTCAATTAATGTGGTTTTAAGTAGCATCCTCTAGGACAGGGGTGGCCAAACTGCGGCTCGGGAGCCACATGCGGCTCTTCCACACATATTGCGCGGCTCCCAGCAGGGCAGCTGGGGAAGCGAAGGGGAGGCATGCCTCCCTGATCGGTCATCCCTTCCTCAGCCAGTGTTCCCCTCCCTGGTTAGGCTTGAAGTGGGGGGAAGAGAGAAAGAAAGCAGCCTCCAAGTATCATTGGATAAATAAATATCATTATCAATATTTGGTTTTACCCCTTTTGTTTTTATTTTTGGCAGTTTCATTTAATTTTAATAAAAATCAAATGTGCATGTGTGTAACATGTGTGTAATATTTGTTCACGTTATATGGCTCTCAAACATATGACATTTATTCTATATGGCTCTTACGTTAAGCAAGTTTGACCACCCCTGCTTGACGACTTTCTTGTATTTCCTCTTCAGCTTCCTTTTAGCTATTCCCCTCATTTTTGTAAGATTCCATCTTTTGAAATCAAATGTCAGTTTTGGACTTTAGGTGTACTTTATGTACCATATCTAAGGTACATATAACCAAGGCCAAGTTGCAAGGAGAATTGAAGTAAGTACAAGTCAGAACACCAAAGAAGAGAGATTGTGAGAATTTTTTGCTGCCGCAAGAAGACGCTGACGTGACTATGGAACTTGGTCGCGCTAAAGAAATTAATTTGTCCTAGAACCTGCTACAGGATGGGGAATGGTTAAGTTAGCAGAATAAGTTTTCCCTTGTTGTTAACTCAGATGCTGTTATGATTTTTGTGTTAGCTTCTTTTTAGAAAGGTAGTATAGGTTATTCATCCTCTTAAATGTTTCAGAAAAAAAATTGCCTTTCTTGCATAAGTATGCTGGTACCTGAACCTTTGCTTTTCCACCCCATGTCTAAAGGCCATCCCATTCTACCTGGTAAGAAAAGACCGTTGGGTGGAGGCAGACAAGAGGAGAAAAAAAGACTTCTGCCTAGAGGTGGTAGTGGTGAAGGTCACTAGTAGAAAGGAATTAAAAGGGGGGCTCCAGAAATTGTTTTTGTTCACCTTCCTTTTGTCTGCCACCCAGACCGTCACTCCCACTAGGAAGATGGAAAAGATTCTGTCTACATTGCCCTAAGCTCTTGTGTTTCCCTTCACAGAGTCCTGTACTTCAGTATCTCTACTTCCTAGCCCAAATCCCCATAGCCATGTCCCCACTCAGCAACAACAGTCTCTTCCTGGAATATGCCAAGAACCCACTTCTTGATTTCCACCAGAAAGGCCTGATGGTGTCATTGTCTACAGATGACCCCATGCAGTTCCACTACACCAAGGTAGGAAGCTGGGTCCTCAGCTACTGTATGTGTTGGCTCCCAGGGCTGGCATGTGGGACAGGTGTTTAGCTTTTACAGTATATTGCACATTTCCTTCTCTCTTTCTCTTTGCTTCCCAGGAGCCTCTTATGGAAGAATATGCCATTGCTGCCCAGGTCTTCAAGCTCAGCACTTGTGACATGTGTGAGATTGCACGCAATAGTGTCCTGCAATGTGGCATGTCTCATGAGGTATGAAATTCATATGGACATCTCAGCGAGGTACAGACTCTTTTCCTAGTGTAGTGGCTGAAGAAGGACTGAGGACCTAACTAAATGATACTTTTTGGCACATTGGGCCCAAGTTCCAAAGTTGTGCAAATTACTCCCCGACAGGGCCTTTTGTCTTAGGAAAATGGTGATGGAGGAAGGAGCAAAAGAAGAGTTGGATTTATACTCCACTCTTCACTCAGACCGATTTCACACAAGAGCTGCACTGTGGTCACACCTCCCTTTGCCCCACTTCTATTGGTCAATTTCCCACTCGAAACAGTGCGACTGCATTTTGACCTGCTGCTTTGCCCGATTTTCCCCGCGGTTTTGCGATCCTGTTTTTTGAGGAACATGAAACCGCCGGGAAAATTGGGCGAAGCCGCAGGTCAAAATGTGGCAGCGCGGCTTCGAGTGGGAAATTGACCAATAGAAGCTGGGCAAAGCGTGGTGCGACCGCAGCGCAGCTCTTGTGCGAAATTGGTCTCAGAGTGGCTTACAATCTCCTTCCCTTCCTCTCCCCACAACAGACATTCTGTGAGGTAGGTGGGGCAGAGAGGTCTGGGAGAACTGCTGTTGAGAGAACAGCTCTGAGAGAACTGTGACTGATCCAAGGTCACCCAGCTGGCTGCATGTAGAGGAGTGGGGAATCAAACCCGGTTCTCCAGATTAGAGTCCACATCTCTTAACCACTACACCAAATTGGCATAGAAGGCAGGAGCTCCTCCTCCCATTCCACAGTTCAGAACTAAATTGCGCTGCCATTGATCATGACGCTCCCTGCAGCTGTAGTGTGGCTGCTGGGAAAGCAAGTGGGGTCTGGGTTCCTTGGACCCCACTCACAAAAAAAGTATTATGTAGTTTGGCCCTGAGTAAGGGAAGGAATAGGAGCAATAGTGTGTTCCTTGTATTAAACTGGAGGTTTGGTAAGAGGGAAGTAGAGAAAGTGGGAGACAGACCTGTGAAGATGGGAGAGAGATGACAGGAGCCCAGAGTTTTGCAAATGGGTCTAAGAGGCTTAGCTATCATTTTCTTCACTCTTACAGGAAAAACTCCATATCCTGGGGGAGAGTTACTTTGAAGATGGGCCACAAGGTAATGACATCCGCAAGACCAACGTGGCTCAGATCCGTATGGCCTATCGCTACGAGACGTGGTGCTACGAGCTCGACCTTATAGCTGAGGGGCTGAAAGTGGTGGAATAGTTTCCTTTCAGTGCTAAGCCTGCTGTACCTGATCCTTGCCGCAACCACAGAGCAAGCCTGAAGAAGAGAAACCTGAAGCTCCATTAAACACCAGGCAGTTGAAGGGGTGGGGCTTATCCTCAGGGCTGTTGCTTCTGATTACACTGATAAGGAATCTAAACTGTGTGCTGTGTTTACTGGGCTTTTCTGTGCTTTTCCATTGTGCAAACAGAAGTGTATCCAACATCCTGGGGAGCAGCTCCTGCTACACATCTTCTATCTATATATCTTGCTGCAAGTCTAACAGACATGTCCATCTACAAAACAGCCCAGGAGCACTATTCCTGTCTTGCCAGCCCTGCTGTGAATACATGTTGTGGCTTTTATAAAATTGGAGAATACATTCGTTACAGCCGAGTAAGAGAACTGCTCTTGAGAGAACAGCTCTGAGAGAACTGTGACTGACCCAAGGTCACCCAGCTGGCTGCATGTAGAGGCGTGGGGAATCAAACCCGGCCCTCCAAATTAGAGTCCGCCATTCTTAACCACTACACCAAACTGACTCTCATTCACAAACTATTAAAAATCCTGCATTAAAAACCCGACCACAGCCAAGAGAAGCCATTTAGCAGCCTAAAATGTTTCTCATTAAATGGTTTTTATGCTAGAGGTAGACTGTAAAAACAACTAGAAAAGATCAACGTCTTAGCAAAAAGTCTGAGTAAAAAGAACTGTTTTGGCCTAGCACTTCAAGGTCAGTAAGGTAGGTTCCAGGCAAGCCACAAGGGAGAGAGTATCCCAAAGGTGAGGTTCCACCACTAAAAAAAATAAAGCCTGTCTCTGGTTTCCACTTACCTCACCTCGGTGGTGGGGGGCACAGAGCAGGGCTTGTGATGTGGATTTTAACTGGCAGGGTGGACTGTACAAGAGGAGGCAGTTGTTCAAGCACCCTGGCCCCAACCTATTTAAGAGCCTTAATGGTAAGAAACAGCACTGGATACAGAAGGGCAGCCAGAGTAAAACTTTCCACACAGGGATGATACAATCCCTGCATCAGATTCCCAATAATAACTTGTCTGCCACACTTTGAGAAACTGGTTCAGGTGGTTTTCAAGGCAGCCCCATGTAGAGCACATCACAGTATGTAATCAGAGCATGGCTCACTGTGGCAGAGTCACACTTTTCACATAATGACAGTATCCCAAAAATAACGCTTTGGAATTTAGTCAGTTCAAGTTATTATTAATTGGTCATTAAGTGCTGAGCATTCAAGCAATCCATATCCTATATACTAATAGCGAACTTGCCCCCGGAGTGCGGATCGCTAAATCAGCGCTCTGGGGGCAGCTGGGGGGCCGGGGGAGGTTTGTGCACTCTTGGGGCAGTCCCCAGGGGTGCACAAAAATGTAAAAACTAAAAAAAAATATCGGGGGATGTTTAAATCCCCCCGAAAATGAAAGAGCGTTCTCTGCGCCTGCGCACAGAACGCTCTGTAGCTG